TCATAGAAGGAATCTGGTTTGGTTGAAGTCTAATGCAAAATGTTGTGGAGGAGTTTTGAGGAATATTTGGTAAACTCCACTGATACTATGTATTGATGGAGCCGTGTGGCTGTGTGGTAGAGCTTTCGGTTATCAACGCGATAGTCTCGTGTTCGGATCACTGGGACAATGTTCAAGCCAGGGAAGTGTGTTATGCTGATGAGATAATGTCTTTAAAGGCTTAGGTTAGGTAATTCTACTTCGCCTGACCCGTGTAACATTTGATGAGAGTGGGTCATGTTTTATACACATGAATGTAACTGTACTGATACCTCTAATAACAGAGCTACAAACCAACTGTGCCCTAAATAAATTGGCATTTGGGAAATTCCCAACTAGAAAATGACGCAGTGATTCATTTTGCTGCGCAACGCACGTAATATACCAGAATAATTATATTTGTGTAATAATCCAACAAATAAAGGTTTATTATAGATGCAACATCACGATCCGCTCGAATCAAAACACCAGCAGCATTCATCTGAACCAAGCGAGTTCACGCTCTTCTACAGTAAGGTTTGGCTAGACTTACCTCATCTCAACTGATGATTACATGACAATCGTTTTTTATTTTTACCGAAACTAGTTTAATAAGTTCATATATCGCGCACACACACACACGCTCGTACACACACGCTCGTACACACACGCAAATAAATAAGTAAGTAATAAACAAATAAATTTATTAACATATAGGCCTATACATAAATATAATATACATACATATATACATACACACACACATATATATCTATATATATGTATATTAACATATAAATAAGTACAGGCCATATAAACATAAACATATACAAACACACACATATATGTATGTATATATATATATATATATATATATATATATATATATATATATATATAAAATATACATATACATATACATCTATATATATATGTATATATACATATATATGTATATATAAACACACATATATATATATATATATATATATATATATATATATATATATATATATATATATATATCACTAAACAAGCTGTGTCTACTTCCTACACATCCGTCCTGTTATTGAGTGTGCACCAGACCAATTAACACGACTGGTATTTCAAGGAATGAAATCAAAACCAGAGAATGCTGGTCTAGAATCGAACAAGACAACACTTGTCTACGACATTGCTGTTCACAATGCGCAAGGCAGTGACTTCTCGACAGGGGAAATACTGAAAATATCCCTAGGGTTGCGGAATGTGTAAGCCACCCCCACCCCCGAAGTGCCTCCACCCCCGGTGGTAGATGACTAGGCAGGCATTAAACTAATCAATACCCCTGGGTTGGCGCTGTAATAACCGTAATTGTTACACACTGGTGGTAGCGAGGCCAAGACGATCCGGACTACCCTTCTCTTTTAATCAGTCAGTATCAGTTACTGGGAGGCGACTCACCACTCAAAGGGGGATAACCCCGGCTAACACTTCTAAGCCGGAATACAATGGTTCTCAATTTACATCACTTGGACCTCATATATATATATATATATATATATATATATATATATATATATATATATATATCATAATGGCTCATCTTTGCATGTTTCCGTTTTGTAATTTTAACCATGATATCAAGAACATCTGAATCTTAGCCGTTATTTAGCGTGTTTTGTTCTTTTCTTTTTGCAAATTGATTAATATACTCACTAAAAACCAGCTCAGTAAAAAATGGGATAGTTAAAATCTGAGATGTGACGTTATTTTAGGGGTGGAGGACTATCTTTTTGTGATGAGTGATGATGTGAAGGGGAGGGAGGAAGAAGACAAAAATCTTCCCAAATAAACCTGACGTTATTTTGGATGACCCCTCATGTAATGCTGCCGATGACTTTAAGAGAACATTCTTGTCCATAATTTACTCAGAAATATTTTTATAGCCTTACAACTTCACTGACAAAAACGGTTACAATATAATAATAAAAAAGATAATAATTTAAATAATTTAAAAATAAAAACAATTATATATTAATCATAATATGAACATTAGTAAATAGTGAACATTAAAAAAAATATTTATGATAAAAAATAATAAAAAAAAGCAACAAAAAAAATACTAATGTAGAAAATAAAAATAAAAAATCCAAAAATAAAGTGCCCAGGCCATCTAGCAGCAGACGTCTAGCAGAGCGCGCGAAAACTTTCAACCCAAGTGAGAAATCCCGGCGCGTTTCGCGTCAGTCGGAAATTGTTCCATTGTGCGAACAGATTCGGTGTAATAATAGCACCGACCTCACAAGGGAGATAATGACAGCTATTAAAATATTCACTTGGAGGTTTCGGTAACAAACACAGGCAGTTAAAAAAAATCGATGTAAAAATATATTTGGGAAAAAAAGGGGAGGGGGGTGGGGGGGGCGTTTAAAAAAAACAGAAAAAAAAAGAAAGATACTCCACGAATTATTGTTGAAGTAAGGGCAATTATATGCAAGTAGTAATTATATTAACTTGATACGTTAGAACTTTTCACGAAAGAAGGAAAATAAAACTGCGTTTAAATTTGTATAGAAATAATTGTATTCTACTTTTAAAAAAGAAAATGAGTGTCGTCTGCATAGCAGCTGTGACAACAGTTGAGATTGTCACGTGACATTGAGTGTTGCAGTGCCAGTAGTACATAGGGAGATGCGTGGTCTAGAGGTAGAACTTACGCCTACAAACACGGAGCTCGCGAGTTCGGTTCCCGAGCTGTCTCTATATACAATAACCTGAGTGTCATACTAAAATTTTTTCGATGTCACGTCATGTTCGCTACATTTTAGCCGGGGATGTTACAATTGTTTCGTACTACTTTTCTATATCAGACATTTTTATTTTCTCTATCTCCAGTTTTTTTTTTACTTAGAAATTCCATTTCATTTTAAACATCTAAATACGAAAAAAAAAACAACAAAAAGCATCTATCAAATATTTAAAAAAAAACAAAACACGAAGTTCTCTCCCCTTACAAACTATTCACTAAAAACACATTTTGAAATGTCTTGAAATGAAAAGACTTAGTCAGCAACTTGATCGCCCCTCCAAACCTTCTACCCCTCCCCACCAGACCTCCCACGCAGCTGGTCATTTATTTTATCCCAGCCCCTATCCCCCCTCCCCCCACCTGTAGTTCGATAAAACCAACAAGCACATCACGTCTGCTATGTACGACCATGAACTCAAACGTCGGGCCGATCAGGTCGCCGCCGTCTTCTTGAAACAGGATAAGAAAAATTATTCGTTTGGCTGAGGTTGACGACAGGAAAAAAGGGGGAAAAAATAAATGAAAGAGGGGGGGGGGGGGGAATGACGGAGGTGCTTACAACCCCCTCCCCGCACCACCTCCCCTCCCCTGTCTCAGCCTGTCACTCGACACGTTATTTATTTAGTTGTTTCCCTTTAGCTTACGGAGGTGTTCACACCAGAGGTTGGGTTGCTGGTGGGTTGCTGGTGGGTTGCTGGTGGGTTGCTGGGGTTGGTGGAGTGTCTCAATAGGCGAGGTGCAATGTCGTGGTGGTGACATCAAGGTTTACTGATTGGGGGTGGGGGGGGGGGGGAGCTGAATTAAGGATGGGGGGGGGGGTCACGTGACCAATCAGTTGTGCTCGACAACTCCCTCACCCGCAGCACTCACACAAACAGCAACCACCCAAGTCCTACGTCATTGCTGATCTTCCATTGACCGTCGCTTTGAATAACGAGCAGTAGGGGACTCAGAATTAGGGCAACTGTCGAGTTGGACTGTGGTTGGCTTAAGGATATGGTTTAGCATTAGGTTTAGAGTTAGTGTAGATGTGAGGTAAGTTAAAGTCCATGGGGCGGGTGAAGCAGGACTCGAACCCGGTATCAGAACTCGAGATGTTCTGTTTAGCAGTCGTACGCTCTATTTCTCGACCAAACAAACCATTAGAGTTAATTCTTATTCGTCGTTCGTAATTGTAATGTCAGAAGAGATTTCCCCCAACACAATTAAGTATTACGTGTCAACGTGTTGTGCACTCTATGGGGCGTTGACTCCGATTTGAGCCTGCTTTTCTTTTTGGATTTCCTTCCGTAGCCTTTGTCCAACCAAGAACAAACTACAAGGCAGCATTTGTTTGATTTTGGAGTTGTCTCTCCTAGAAGAGTGGCTGTCCCCAGCTAACGAACCTCATCGGCAAGGGGGGTTCGAACCATGAGCTTTACCCACCAGGCCGACCCTAGGGTTACAATTTAAGGTATATTTTAACATCACGCAGAGAAGACCGAGTGGTCGAGTGAGAGAGCATACGATTGCTAGCCCGTGAGTTACCAGGTGAGCTCTTAGCGAGTGAGCGAAACTCTTCTAGGAGAGAGAACTTCGAGATGCTCTTGGTTGAGCTCAGGTATAGAATGATATCCAGAATGAAAAACAGGCAGAAGTTTGAGTACATTTACTATGTATAGGTCCATGTAAAGAAATAACGCTGGCATTGTATTTAGTTTCCGCATCAAGAGTATAAGAATCTAGTGATTGGTTTGCTTACCGAGAGATTAATAGAGATTATAAATTATTTTGTTTCTCTGTACTACGGTAATGGTTTCGGTTAGGTTAAAGGCTAGGATGTGCAAGAACGTTAGGGTTTAAGTAGAGATATGACAAAAATAGAGGTTTCGTGCATATAAAAATGATGAACCTATTGTCACACACTTCTTTTTTTTTTATAGAATTCTTGAATTACACTTGATTCATTAAAAATCATTCATTAAAAATCCAATGGTGTTAGCGTGTTCATTCTCATTTCGCCGTATAAGCCGTGTAAATAAACACACACCACCTCCAATTACTGTGTTGTTACACATTACACTACACACCACACACTACACACCACACACTACACTCCACACTCCACACACTACACACCACACACCCAGACACGTGCAACACCATACCGTGCTGCCTCCATACACACGTGTCACCAGACACCCAGACTTACCTATGCGCGACCCCCCTCTCATGCAGGTAATGCAGCGCCGACACCAACTGCCGGATGTAAGGGCGACCCCTCTCCTCCGACAGGCGGAAATCCTTCTGCAGTTTGATGAAAGCCTGCAGCTCTCCTCCTGATGCGTACTCCATTACAAGACAGTGTAAAGTAGTTGC